ATCTGGCCAAATAAAAACAAACATAAAAAGTAAAGATAAAGATAAATCAGTAAAAAAAAAAATATTAGTTATACATACTATATACAAAATAAAATAAAAAAATCTATAAACAAAACTCTTGAAACCATACCAAGATACTTAAAACTATGTACAATGGTAAAATACAAATAAACACTTTTAGAAAAAATAAAAAATACAGAAAAAAATAAGTGTAAATTCTTCTTAACAGTAAAATCTGTGTTTCTGTTGAAAAAAAAAAAGAAAGCCGAATCTATAATAAGTATTTAAGTTATGAGCTATATGTGAATATGTTATTATAAATAATATGTAATTTTACATAAAAGGTTATGTATCTGGTATCTGACTGTTTTGGGACAGAAATTGGAATAGGAGGGTTTTGAATGTAGATAGGGATGAAGAATGTCTAATTTTGATAGGAAGGGAATTCCAAAAATTAACAGAGCGAGCAATAAAGGAGTTTTGGAACGAGGCAGATCTGTGAGATGGAATGTAAAGGTCGGAAGGTCGAGATCTTGTGGAGAGGGAGTGGGCTGAGGACTTGAATTGGAGAAGGTTGTAGGCGTAGGAAGGACGATGATTATTGATGATATGATAGAGGAATGTACCTAGGAAATATTGTCTTCGAATGGAGGGGAAGAGCCACTCTAACTCAGTGTAGTGGTGAGAGACATGGTAGTATCTCGAGCACCAATTACAAATATCACGCAACAGTTCATTAATTTTTTCAGTCTGTCACGGAGCTCCACCGAGAGTCCATCATACACCACACAGCTGTAGTCAAAGTGAGGGAAGATGAGAGAGGAAACCAGGAGTCTATGCGTATGTTGAGGTAGGAGATGGCGGAAGCGATGGAATAGTTTGAGGGTAGAAATTGTCCGTCGGGAGATGTGAGAAATATGGTGATTCCAGGGGAGGGTTTGATCAATAAATAGTCCTAAATTTTTGACAGAGGAGTAGGAGATTGGCTGGTCACCAAGGATTAGTATGGGAAAGTCGGTCGGTATAGGATCTAAGGAGGGGCTTGGAACCAATGACAATGGCCTGAGTTTTTGAAGCATTTAACCTTAATCCGTTTAAGTTTTCCCAGGCACAGATTCGATCTAGGTCTGCTTGGATCTTAGTAAATACTACTAATAGCTCAGGGGGAGAGAAGGATAGGTATATTTCTGAATCGTCTGCATAAAGGTGGTGAGAACAATGGAGAATTAACTCATGGAGGTCATTAATATAGGAACTAAAAAGGAGAAGAGATATGCTAGATCCTTGGGCAACTCCAGAGGATAAAAGCAGGTAGTCAGATAGTGGTTGATTAGGAATGGAGACTGCTTGGGTGCGTTGTGAGAGAAAAGATTTGAACCAAGAGATGGAGCTATTGGAGAAGGAAAGTGATTTTAGTTTGTTGAAAAGGATGGGATGGTTAATGGAATCGAAGGCTTTAGAGAAGTCAAGAAGTATAAGGACAGTTAATTGTTTATTATCTATTGCAGTCTGAACATCATTGGTAATTTTGATTAAGGCGGATTGTGTGGAGTAGCCGGGACGGAAACCAGATTGGAGAGGATCAAGTTGGTTGGACTTTTCAAGGAAATTGGAAACTTGGGGTTGCACCAATCTTTCTAGGTGTTTTGAGAGATAGGAAAGAATTGAGATTGGGCAAAAGTCTTCTGGACAGGATGGATTAGGCTTTTTATTTAAAGGGACTACAATGCCTTTTTTCCAAGAGGTAGGGAATATTGAGTTCTGTAGGGAGAAATTGTAGATGAAAAGGAGAACTGGGAGGATTTCGGGGAGACATAATTTTATCAATTTGACAGGAATGCCATCTGGTCCTATGGAATTGGTGTGGGATTTCATTACGTCGGTTAGTAAGTCAGTCGGGGAAATAAAAGTCATCATCATTAAATGATGACTCAGGCATATTATATATAATGCATTTTTTCATAAGAGTAATGAATAGCTGCTGAAGATTTATAATTGGAGCCCCAAGATACTCCCATGTCCCTCACCACTACAGTGAGCTAAGTTGCCTTTTCTCCTTCCGAGAAGAAAATATTTCCCAGGTACATTCCTCTTTCAAATCATCACCTTTATTACACTTACAACCTTCTCTAATTCAAGTCCTCTGTCCATTCTCTACCCACGAGATCTCCACCTTCTGCTCTTTACAGCCCTTCTCTCAGATCTGCCTCATTCCAAAACTCTTTTAGTCCCACTTAGTCAATTTCTGGAATTCCTTTCTTATAAACATTCGGCACTCTCCCTCCATATCTACATTCAAAACCCTCCTATTCCAATTTCTGTCCCAAAAACAGTCAGACACCTGTTAACCTTTTGGTATTATACATTTATTTCATGTCATTCATCATCAAAAGTTGGTATTGTTCTTTGCTAGAGATATTACAAGATTTTCCCCTACTCTTGATGCCACTGAATGCATCTAATGTTTGTTTTTCACTACTATTTTTTATGCAATTAAGTTTGTACCTATAGTTATGTCAAGAAATGATCATGATGTATTTACATGTTATTCATCATTTAAATACTCAGGCATTTTATATTGTCAGATTCGGCTTCCTTTTTTCTTAGCAGAAACACAGAACTTATTTAAAAGAAGAACTTAAAGTATTTTTTATTTATGTTTTTCTTAAAAGTGTATATTCATGTTTTACCACAGTACATAGTTTCAATTGTGGGAATTATGGTTGACTGTAGTGAATAATTGAAGATAAGGATGGTTGGGGTGGTCAGACAAAATAAAAAATTATATTTATTTTAATATTTGCCAACATTTCGGCCTAAAGTTCAGGCCTCCATCAGGGCTGGTCAATTGACGAAGCGTGGAAAGACCTAGTTTTACATTACTAACATGTTACATAGTTTTAAGTATTTTGTATATAGATTTACTTGTTTTGCATTTATACACTGACAGGTAAAAAATTCCACCCACTTGATTTTTTCATGTTTTCATCTAAAAATATTTCTGCTTTGGATTGGTCTATTGTTTTTAATGAATAAATAGGTAATCTTTTTGTTTGTTTTCAATTAGGAATGTTAATATAGAGGACAATAACCCTTAATTCAATGAAATGATTCTAGATTCCAACACTAACCATTATTATTCCAAAAGAAATTAATTACATCATCGTTTAGTAGCGCGTGTTTCCTCCTCTTGCCTTCACTACTTCTGAAGACGCCTCGACATACTTTCCACCAGTCAGGAAATGTCCCTTTGCTGGAGGATAGCCCATTCCTCCCGAAGAGCCCTTTCAAGGTCCTGCCGTGTATCAGGAAGTGTTGCATGAGCTCTTATTCGTCTTCCGAGGTTATCCCATAAATGCTCAATGGGGTTCAAATCTGGAGAACGTGCTGGCCAGGCTACAACCTCAATATTGTTCTGTTGAAGGAACGTCTGCACTATGCGGGCGTGCATTAGAATAGAACGATCGCCAATTTCGTTGAGGATAGGCAACACATGAGGTTCCAAAATCTCATCTACATAGCGAATGGCCGTCAAAGACCCTCCACGAACGACAACCAATTCTGTGCAGCGCTCCATTGAAATCGCAGCCCACACCATTAAGGAACCACGTTGGAAAGGTTGGCTCTGGGAAAAATTACAGGCTGCATATCTTTCGTTTCTTCTTCTCCACAGCCTTTCACGCCCCTCTGGATATCAAAGAGCGAATCTTGACTGATCTGTAAAAACTACAGCACTCCATTCGTCCATAGTCCGAAGGCTGTGTTCTCGAGCAAAAGCCAGCCGTGTTACTCTGTGAGTTCTGGTCAACTCTGGTCCTCTTACTGGACAAAAAGCCATTGGTGCCAAAGTCAAAAAGCCATCCATACTCATTTAATCTTCTCCGAGCGGTAATTTCAGAAATTTGCACACCTCGAACTTCTTCGAGCTGATGAATCGCTTAAACAACGGTAAGGTGCCGGTTTCGTAAAATTCTCAAAATCAAAAACTGGTCATCCCGTGGTTCTGTTACCCTAGACCCTCCATAACCGGGCCTTCTATTGTAAGAACCAATTTCCCGAAAACGCCTGATGGCGTCTCGTAAAGTTTCATATGGAACTCCGATGGCATTAGCTGTATATCTAATGGAACGTCCATCATCAACAAGTGCCACACCACGCGCAACATCCTCAGCACTAAGAGGCATTTTTAAACTTAATATTGAAAAAATTAAAAGCTGGAGACTAAGAAATGTGCTGCTAGAAACGGCACTGAACTAATGATACTGAATAAACATTTTGATTCCATAGAAAGTATACATTGGAATCTAGAATCATTTCATTGAATTAAGGATTAAGGGTTATTGTCGTCTATATTAACATTCCTAATTGAAAACAAACAAAAAGATTACCTATTTATTCATTGAAAACAATAGACCAATCCAAAGCAGAAATATTTTTAGATGAAAACATGAAAAAATCAAGTTGGTGGAATTTTTTGCCAGCCAGTGTATACATAACATGTTTAACTAATGTTTTCTTTACTTTCTTCTATTTCTTTTAATTTGTTGTTATTGTTTTTATTTAGGCCAGATGTAATCTTTTAATTTTGTACTGTTTTGTTATTCTAAAGGGACTTAGTCCTAAAATAAAGTTATTTTCTATCTATCTAAGTTTTAAAGCATATTATATGGCGTATGTCTTATGTGTTTTATTGCATATGAATCCCAATCTTAATCAAAATAGACATTATATATAGTCTCAAACCTAAAATTCAAATAATTACATCATGTTGTTCAGTTATTAAATATATATATCGAAAGAGTAAATATTATTTCATGAAGTTTAAGGTTCCTTCAAGTTGAAAACAAGGAAATTCTTTTTCTTTAGTTCGATGATAAATAGTGGATATCCTTAGTTTCATTAACATTAACTAGGATATGTTTTAAATAAGGATAATTGGTATCGAAAAAGGCATTGTTATAATGTTTAATAAAAACATAGTAAATGAATGAAAAAAAAGTAATAAACTTTTTTTTAATTCAAAAGAAGTTAAGAGTGGTGGTTGGTTATATACGTAGGTTGCACTGACAGAGTTCATGTTGTTATTTGTCATATGTTACAATATAATTTTTTATTAAAAAATTACAATTGTCTGATACATATTGTTAACAGCACATTACATAAATAACTGTTTACAACTGATTTTTTAAAGAAAATTGCAGCTCATTACGAAGTTCATCTACAATAAACTTTTCTTCTTCAAATTCTAACACACAGTTTTTCCAGTCTACTTTTTTTTCAGATGACTGGAATAGTTCTTCTTTCACCAATGCTTCTCTAAAAACATAAATAAATTAATATAGATGATAGATTAAAGAGAATAAAGGGTTGCAGTAATGTTAAATAATACAAATCATAAAACCATATTAAAATAATAATAATAATAAATTAATATAATGCAGTTTTATTTTAATGAACCATAAAACATGAAATAAGGGGATGTAACTTGGAAAACACCTTCATATAAAAATAACTTTATTTAGTGTTTATTTAAATTTTTTTTTTTAAATTATAGAAATTTACAACTGTATTAAATGACAAATACAACAAGCAAATATGAAGAAGCAACATGACATGTACAACATGAAAAGAAACTACCCATTGGTAGCACTCCAATCATATTTCTATATTAGAAGGTCCCGAGGAAACCTTATTTTCAGACGCCTCGGAGGGTTATCAGAAAACGAAGAGGAAGCAAGGTTGGAAACAAGAGGATGGTTCAGAAGTTTATTATGAAAGGACAGGTATCAGGATTAAGCTAAATCGGAAACATATGGTACATTAAGGTCATTATGAATGATTTTATTTGTGACAAAGTAGGGAGCATTAAGGATTTTATGAAGGATTTTGGATTGAAGGGATTGGATACGAGAGGAATTTGATGGTTTAGTAGAGCCCCAAAGCTCGATCCCGTAAGACCAAATAGGCCTAATTATAGTGATATATATGAGTCTTTTGTAAATAGTTGTAAGTTTAGAGTGTTTGTCTAGTAAGTGCTGGAGTAGTCAGAAACATCGGGCGGTTTCTAGTCGATTGTCAAGGTGGAGTCCTAGGTATCGGATTTGCTCAACAGGGATAAGTGGGATATTGTTAAAGGATACTATAGGACAGGAAGTCATAGGTTTACGACGAAGAGTAAAGGTAATTTGATGGGATTTATTTTAATCCTCCAGTTTTGATACCACTTTTCAAGACTTGTGATGTGTGATTGGTTTGGGATGCAATAGATGGATCATTATTAACTGATAGGATACACCTGTCATCGGCGGAGGTGGTGATGACATTGTTGGAATGGGTTGGGATGTCAGCCGTATAAACTGTATAAAGGATAGGACCTAGGATACTACCTTGAGGAACACCAGCAAACTGAGAAAACAGAGATGAACAAGCATAGTTATGATTTACTTTGAAGAATCTGTCAGTAAGGTAGGAACGGATAACGAAGAAGTATGTAGGTGGTAGGAATTTACAGAGTTTGTACATCTGTCCCAGATGGCAGACTCTGTCAAACGCTTGTTCAACGTCGAGAAAGATTCCTGTGCAGTACATTCTGCACTACAATGCAGAGGAAACTACGTCTGCCACACGATGGCATAGCTGAATAGTGGAGTGGGATGTGCCGAATCCAAATTGGTGATCTGGGATAATGTGTTGAGAGTCTAGGATGGGATACAGGCGTTTCAGATGAGTTTTTCCAGGATTTTGCCCATAATAGGTAAAAGAGAGATAGGACGGTAAGAGGATGGGTGTTATGGCGGCTTTATGGGTTTAGATATCATTTTGACAATGGATAGTTTCCAAAGGTCAGGAAAATATGTGGTTCAGAGTACAGCATTATATATATAGGTGAGGTATAGTATGGCATTTTTAGAAAGAGTTTTAGGATCTGGGATGTGATTAGGTCATGGCCAGGAGCTTTGCGAGAAGGAAATCTATGAATGATATTGGATATTTCTGAAAGATGAAATGGTTTAGGTGGACGAGTCAATTGGAGTGGGATATCAATTATGCTTCAATAAACTCAAGGTGGGTTGGATTAAGGATGAAAATGCCTGTGCCACTTCGATCTTGCTCTACGTTTTTCCCTTAATAATATACGAATATGATGTGGCAAATTTGTCTGTTGGAAGTTGTTAATTTTATTGGTAGATGTATTATCATTTATTTTGTCACTTATGGATGTAGTAAGTACTTCTATGGCTGTGTCAATGTCATGTTTCGTCTTAAGTGGAATATTTAAGTCCAATCTATTTTTCAGGTCTTTAAGAAATTTGTCCCAGTTTACTCATCCTGTAATCAGTGTAGGAGAGGACGAGGGTTTAGGAGCGAAGGTTGTGTGTATAATGAAAGCAGAACTGGAAAATGATCTGAGGAGAGGTCATCCAGGGATTTGATTGTGACATGGGAAGAGGAAATCTGGGAGGTGACAAATATATCCAGGATATCAGGGAATTTTTTGAGGGAAGTTGGCCAATAGGAAGGATTCATAGGAGAAAGGACAGAGTAACTATTGGAAGTTGAGACAGAAGATAGTATGTTACCACGCGAGTTGGAAGCTCGACAACCCCATCGTTGGTGTTTAGCATTGTAGTCTCCTCCAGCAATAAATCACGATCCTAAGGATTGAAATAAGAATTCAAGTAAGTTGTAGGTAAGAGTATGACCAGGAGGACAGTATACAGCTGAGAGTGTTAAATGGAAAGGACGAGTTGAAATGATTACTGATGTTGCTTGACTAGCCTCAGTTGGAGTAGAAGGAATGAGAGAATGGGATAAGGATTTATGGATAAGGATGCAAGAACTGGCATGGGAAGTGTTGTCGGGGTGGTCTGATCTATAAGTGATGTAGTCACGTATGTATGAACGTTGAGTGAAGTGAGTTTCTGTCAGTAGAGCAATATCAATGTGGTACTCATGAAGAAAAATGTCAAGTTTGTCTTGTGGTTGTGCAGTCCATTAGCATTCCATAAAAGAACAGCTAGGGGCTTTGTACTCATTGTGAGAGATTAAAGGGAATTTCGGTAAGGATTCTTGTGAGGAGAGTAATAAGAGGTTTTATAGTGTTTTGGAGGTCCAATAGGTAGGATGATAGAATGGAAGTTATGTCACATGGATGTTGGTTGTGAAGTGAGTTTAGGATAGGTTCTTGTGGCGGGTTAGGAGTGTTGATTAAGGGCAGCATCAGTCGTGTACAAGGTGGGTCTGGAATCAAAGGTCCTTGTACAGGTTTTTTTTTCTGAACATTAGGTTGAGGTAGCTGTGGCGGTAATTTGACTCTAGGGGTAGTTGATTAGGAGGAATTTGCTGATGGGGAGGATGAGATTGAGGTTTGGGAGTATAAGGTTTAGATTGGGAGGTGTGAGGCGCCTGACTTCGAGGTTCCTGCTTCTTGATACTGGTTTGTGTGTAGGTTTTGCTGGAGTCCTGATGAGGATGATAGATGTCAGTTGAAGTAGACATTTCTTGTTGTGTAACAAGGGTAATTTTTGTCGGCAATTCTGGAAAATTTGAAATATTTTCAATTTCTGGTGGGTCGGTGTAACTTTCTTGGTTATGTTTAATGCTTTTTAAGGCCATGTTCTGAGATTATAGATTATAGTGATTTTTGTAGAATATGCATCCCTTGTAGCTTGCCGGGTGGTGTTCGCCGCAGAGAGCACATTTAGGATGTGTTAGATGCGTGTAAGCCGGAACATCTTACGCACCTGGCCTGATGATGGCAATAGGTCTTTGTGTGCCCCAGTTCTTGACACTTAGTACATTGCACTATCACTGTTTTTTGCCTAGGCTCTTCGAATTTAACTGTTGAATATATAAGTTTGTTTACTTGAAATATTTCGATGTTATTATTAGCAGGCTCCAAATCAAGGAAGAATAAAGGTAATGGATATTGCTGCATTGGATGTAATACGCATGAAATGTGCCTAACGTTGTGACCTATTTCTTCCAGGCCAGACTTGATAACGGATATAGGGGTGGTTGAGTGTAGGCCTCTCAAGACCAATCGATATGCCTTTTCTTGTCTCAACTGATAACAGTGAAAATCGTAGTTTTTAGAAGAGAAGTAGTAGATTAGTGTTTTATAATTATCTCTTGAATTTGTGTTTATCTTTATGTCGTTTACCCTGGAAAAACAGCGAAAATTGGTCTGTCCTATTAGATCGGAAATTTCTTGACCAAATGATATGAAATTATCAATTTTGGAAACAAAAATAAGTGGCGGCTCGGGGTCGATAGGAGCTTGAGGCTCCAAAGGCTTGATTGGTGAGTTACTAAGAGGAACAGAATTATTGATGGCTGTAGTAGTTGGTGCAGATTTTATGGTATGTGTTTTGCTTTTAGTTTTGGGTGGTGATTTATTTTGCTCGGCTGTTTGTTTGGATTTATTTTGTTCGGCTGACAATTTCGATTTTGTCGATTTATTTTTTTTCTTGTTGGGTGAATTGATCGCTGACCCAGGGACATAGTTTCTGTGACGTTTTTGAAGTGAGCATCTTTTCAGATATTGCGAATCAGTTTCGCTAACTTCCGAAAATGGTGTCTCGTCATCTGAATCTTCACATGAAGAGTTCTTGTCCAAATTCATATTTTTCATGATAAGAAGAAAAAAAAAAAAAGTATATATATATATATATATATATATATATATATATATATATATATATTTACAACTTTTCTTTCATCGACCTTTGAGTATTAAATTCAAACTTCACTATTTTATTGGGAATAAGGTCATTTAATTATTATTTAATAAACTAATTAATGTTCATTTCTTCTGTTTATTGACGTTTCGATCCCGGTATTTTCTTTTTATTAGTCAACCATGGGATCCTCTTCAAAGCTAGAACTACAAATAGCTCAATCGATACACAATATTACTTCCATATGACTTTAATAACAATTATTTCAAAATGTTTAACCTACTTTAAAAAAATATAGCTTCGATCAGGCCAGGGACACACCGACAGCCTCAGCACCGTCCACTAGCACATATATTAAGCTACTGGATCGCTAAGCGTCTGACCTCCCCGGTCCTGAGCCCGAAGACAAATTATTACACAATAAACAATGAAAAATCGCATCTATTTTATATAAAACAATTGAAAGATGCTTCTATGACCAATATACCAGCATCAATAAAACATATCTATGAATAATAAAAACAGCTTGTATAACATCTCCTAGTCGTACAACAATTTAACTTATGCAAATTAATTAACATTAAATATATACTTATACATACATACAACACTCATATATAAATACATATGCACACA